CCAAGTAGTTCCAAATGAAGTTTTTAGATCAATATCTCCCATGCCTGTCACTTTAAGGATTTTCCCGTTACCCAACTTTACCTTTCCAAAGTCTCCCTTTTTGAGATTCACCATCGCCTCACCGCTGTGCATGGCGTGAAACGAAGCACCAGAATCCATGACCCAAGAGTCAACATAGCTTTCCATGCTGAGTATCAATCCATCACTATCATCATCAGATGCATTCCCAACAACTGCGCTAATTTCGTTTTTCTTGTTTGGGCAGTGACTCTTGACATGCCCAACTTCTTTGCAGACCCAACACACCACATTCTTTCCAGCCTTAGACGAGCTCTTCCCATGACTCCCACTGTTTCTGTTATTACCTCTTCCCCTGCTAACACTGAGTAACCCAGAAGTAGATCCTCCACTAGCGTTCCTCCGGCGAATATCTTCACCCAAAACACTATCCCGTATCCGATCAAACTTCAAGTTTCCTGTTCCAGTAGTTTCAGTAACCGTTGTCACAAATCTCGACCAACTATCAAGCAAGGAAGATAACAGAATCACAACCTGAGTGTCATCATCGAACTTCATGCCTACTAATGATAACCTCGACAAGATCGAATTGACCTCATTAATGTGATCAGCAACTGGGCTGCCCTCGTTCATTCTCATCATGAACAATTCCCTCATCAAGAACTCTCAATTACCGGCCGACGGTTTCTCATACATATTTGACAGAGCTGTTAACATACCACGAGCAGTTGTTTCCTTCATGATATTAAATGCCACACTCCTCGTCAAAGCTAGTGTAATTTTACCTCTTGCCTTTTTGTCCTTTGAGTCCCAAATTGCTTCAGCAGCCTTATCCATTCCATCCGGTTTCTCTTCCAGTACCATGTCCAAATCGCACTCACCAAGCAACGCCTCTATTTGCATTTTCCACCATGCAAAATCAGTACCATTGAACTTCTCGATTCGAACCCTCCCGTCCTCGGCCATTGCAGAACGAGAGAAAAAAAACCAGAGAAAAAACCAAGGAATAACAGCCCGAAACCAAGCAACCTCCAAAAGAAAACAAACCCTAAATCAAAGAACCCGAACCAACGAGTACCAGGTCCAAAACCAGAAACCCTAATCGCCATGTTCACCCAAAACCGACTGAACAGCCCCTGACCAGATCCAAACCAGCCTCTGATCAGATCCGAACCAGCCCCTGATCAGATCCGAACCATCCCCTTAACCGCGGCAGCAAAACAGCAACAAAAACGATCTTCCACAGCCTTCTTCCTGCGATTGACCCTGTGTAACCGTGTGTTTAACTGAACCAAGGCTCCGATACCACTTGTTTGGAATCAGAGATCAGAGGCGGTCAAGCGGAAGCGAACAAACACACACACACAAATAGCAGAAAATAAGAACACGAGATTTAACGTGGTTTGGTCAGTAGCCTACTCCACGGGTTGCAACTAGGGTTTATCTTTTATTAGGTGCTCACAGATTATAGTTACATGATTGGGTATTTATAAGATATAAATTAGGGTTAACAACTTGCTAAACAAGAAACAACTAATGGGCCCTTTAATTAATAACTAAAACCGGCCCCCCATATTTCTTCCCTTTAACCGACTGGGCTTAAAGCCCAAAGC